CTACTATAAGTGTTGGGCATGCCTTGGGAGTGAGAAAGTTGAGTCCACGGTTCATTGGGCCTTACCAGATAATAAAGAGGGTCGGACCGGTGGCGTATCAACTTGCTCTACCTCCCAACTTGGCAAATTTACATGAAGTTTTCATGTGAGTCAGCTCCACAAATATATATATGATGATTCACACATTGTACAACCTAATGATATAGAGGTTAAGAAGGATTTGAAGTTCGTTGTTGGACCTTCTAAGGTTCTTGCTCGAGATGAGAAACGGCTTCAAAATAGAGTTATTCTCATGATCAAGATTCAATGGGAAGGATTGACACCTGAGGATGCCACATGGGAGCGGGAGGATGATATTCTTCGGCGATATCTTAATTTTGATATCAAGTATGATCCGATTTTGAGAACAAAAACTTTCAAAAGGTGTGGTGAATATAATAACCCTAATTACCTGATTTTTAAATTAAAAGGTTATGATGAGGACCTTATGGTCATAAATAGAATGAGAATAAAATTCTAAGAATTTTGATACCCATATTAAGGGTATTATGCACAGATGAATTTTTATCTGTTAATTTTGACTGCTGACGCAGTAACAATCAGTAGAATAGCTCCAAGTTAACAAATTATAGTTAGAGAGCTAATCTAATGATATAAACATCATGAATGAGGTTAGGATATGATTTGATGAAGATTGATACTCATATTGGGGTATTTTTGAAAAGTCACTTATGTTGGGTATTTTGTACTGCTGTAGATGCAGCCGGTAGAATCCCGGGACGGGAAAAAGATGGGAAAATGGAAATAAAGACCAATATATGCCTAACAAGTCATAATTAGACCAAAAATGTTAAAGTTAAGAAGATTATGAAATTCGGGTACAGTTAAGAACACCGGTAAAGTCTACAGTGCAATTAAACAACTGTTAGTGGATCTGTGATCTACTAATCAAATTTTTAAGTTATGAACATGATAATTAGACAAAATTAATGTTAAGTACTTAAAGTTAGAGTCTTGGGGATTTTCGGGTAAAAATTTGACGACGGTTCAAATAAAAATTACACCGGGTCTCACTAAAGGACGAAAGGTCACATAGTGACATGGCACCCCTAATTAGGGCACCACTCCCTTCCTCCCCATTCAGAAAATCTGCCTCCTTCACCTCTCTCTCTCTCAAATTCAAATCCCAAACCTTGCTCTCCTCTCTAGGATTTCACCTCCTAAACCTCTCCAAATCACAAAACTTACTCCCCTCACTCTCCTCTTCACAACCATACCATTTTCATGGTGTGAATCAAAATTTTCGTGGTCCAAACCTCCATGACAAGCCACAATTTTTATTGAAGTTTCAAGGGTTTGAGTTGTGTTCTTAAGCTCTCTTGAAGAACAACACTTGCTTGCTTGGTTCTTGTGATTTGTGGGTAAGTTCTCTTGATTGTTGATTGTTTCATGAAAAATCTCATCTTTTCTTTTTGTGTTCTTGAGCCTAACTAATGAGCATGTTCATGAAGGTGTGTTCTTGGTTGGAAAAAGGTGGAGCTTGGAGCTAAAGGAGGAAGCTTGAAGATGTAAGCTTCCAATTGAGCAAAATAGCTCAAAAAGCCTTCCCTTTTTGCCTTTGGTGCCACGGTTTTGACTTGGTATTTGGGGGAATATTGTTTAAAAAAAATTTAATGTCATGGTTTGATGATGATCCTTAAGGGTGAGTGTGTTTTGAACCATGGAATGATGGATTTGATGACTAAAGGTGCCACCTTTGGACCTTTGAGTGATGTTCATGTAAAAAGATGACTACGAACCCTAAAATGGACTATGAAAATTTCGGCCATATCATGAAAGGTTAGGGTTTGATGACAAAAAAATGTGATTAAGTTGTTAAGTGTGGAAAAATGATGGGAAAGATTAACTAGGTGAGTTATCTCTAAGTAAAACTCACTAATATTGATTAAGGATGGTTAAAAACCCTAATTAACATAACTAATAAAATTTGTCCCCTTAAGTATATTAGGTTTTAGTTGTGTTAAAAATAAGGATATGACGAATTAGTGGATTAGACAAGGGTAGGGATTAATTAGCTAAAGAATGGATTAAGAAATAAGCTTAAAAACCCTAATTAGCACACTAATAATTTGGCCATGTAAGCTTAAGATAGGTTTACTATGTTAAAATTAATATTAAGACTTAAGTAGGACATTAAATTAGTGGTTAAGTGAAGTGGATTATGCATAATACACTAATTAATGATTAAACTCTAAAGTTGGACTTAAGTAGGGTTTAGGTGCACTAATCAAGCAATTAGTGAACTTTAAATATCATGACATAATGTGACTAAGGGGACTTCATAATATGACTTAATAATAGCAAAATCCAAGAATTAAAGTGAATTAGAATTTATAATCAAAAGTAATTAAGGTTTGTTAAGTAAACACATTTAGGGCTAAATAACCAGTTGTTAGGCTAAATTGGGGAGAGCATATCTCCCTCCACAGAGGTCATATACGGTTGTTCCTTATATCAATTTGAAGATTGCGATGTTAGCTATGTGATGTCAAAATTTGGTAGCAATTGAAGATGTATACCGTTCTGTATGTTCGTTTGAGTGAGAACTTCCCTGGGAGGGCATGTGCAGGGGCTATACATGGCTGCAACTTCTACGAATTTTTTCTCCCTCATTTCTTACTCAAATTAGGCTCATAATGTGTCTAATTAAATTTAAAGGTGTGTAGTTGTCGGCATAAAAATTTGAGAGAAATTGGTTTTGTAGATTTTCCAGAATCGCAGAAATGGTAAAGGATGTTTAGGGCTCTGTTCGAAGTTGGCAAACAGTTTTGTTTGTCCAACTTCAAATGGTGATAACCGGAGCTAAAAAACTTCAAATGAAGCATGTGATACCTTTTTGGAAAGGTAATTGAGTCTAGATTAACATACTAAAAGATGAGAATTTATAACATGTGAGTTTTTCTCAGTGACTAGAAAACAGAAGCATGTACAGTTGTGGGAAAATCGTAAAAGTGATATTTAAGCTAAGTGGGCTTATGGGAATCGTTAGTAACTTATAATAAATCATAAATATGGCTTAGATGTGTTGAAAATAATCTAAGTTACCTAAGTGAGCCTTGCATGTGATTTTAAGCTATGTAAATCGTTGAAGATTAAGGTGGCTTGTAATAATGCACTAAAATACGTAATTATGTAATAATTGTTCTAGGCTTGTAATGGGCATATTATTGGCATATGAGTATGAAAAGTGAAATCATTAAATGATTAATTCGTTGATATGACTTGATTAATTAATATGTAATTAATGATGTGAATGGTTCCTACTCTATGTGTGCCTAGAGAACCGTGCACTTGAGGTTTTTGTTAGAGCATACGTATTATATTGGAGTGTGGGCTTGTGCTAAGCTCCCTCAGGTAAGCTCTTAGTTTTAGTTGACTCTTCTCTGTTGTGGCCCCACCATGATGGTGGGCATTATGGTTGGATTGTATGAAAGTATATGGTATGTTGTATATGTGCATTCATTCACATTCATATAAAATGTTATATGATCTTGATGTTATGATGATGCACCGAAGATATATGTTATGAGGATCCTGGCCAGTGATCATGGTATGTAGGCTGCCTATGACTTGACTCTGGGAGCTATTTCATACTGAGGTTGTGTTGACTGTTTATGGCTTGACCCTGGAGTCACACGTGTGTAACCGTCTATGGCTTTGACCCTGGGGTTATACAAGAATGATATGATGATGCTATGTTTATGCTGTATGTTTGTATTATATGCTTTATATATGACTTGTCATGCAGGAAGTGGGCTCAGGGGATTAAAGGATCCTCTATTAACCTTGAGCTTACTGAGATGTTGTTATCTCACCCCGTTTGCGGACTGTTAGTATATGGATGTCCTAGAGACAATCTTTTAATTAGATTAGGACATATGTGGACCTTTGTATTGTCGCAAATAAATAAAAGAACTATTTATCCTGTTTCATATTTTGTCTCAATATTACTGTTAATATTTTATATGAGTAACTGGATAAACCCCTTGGAATAAAATAGGTATCTCTTGAGTATCTGTGATGAGATCACGATCATGAGGATTCAAGGATACTGGATATTTATTCCTAATTTTATGTTCCTAGTCTAGAGACACTGAGAATAGGGATCAGTGATCTCGGGTAAGACTAGCACGACTTATCTACTTGTATTCGGATGCAAGGTAAAGACCTCATGAGCTACAAATATGGAGATGTCTTAGCTAAAGTCGTGGGTGGATCTATAAGGGTAAAGCTCGCACTGAATAGACCCACAAAAGAGACTCTATGAGGAAATCTCACAGAGAGTATCATTAGAGTAGTCTCTTTATATTTGGGTATGTCTTTCCTTAGACCAGAAGTTATTACCAAGACTGTGTTCTAGAAGGCATGCTTTGACTGTATACCTCGTCTGCCTGAAACATGGAGACTCATAGGTATACTGTTGGGCTTGTCCTGAAATAGTACAGGGCTAGGGTGATAAGCTGAAGGAATTCGTCAAATCTCTGTGAGAGATTAGGTTATCTGTAAACCGGAGAAATCGGGATGACATTTACAGTGACTCGTGTAACACCCTCCCTTGTATGCATCCAAGAGAGTCGTTTGCTAATCGTTATTAGAGTTGCGGAATTTTGTTAAGAAACTTTTTCTTAAAATACTTTTGACGAAACATAATGGAAAGATGAATCAAAGGAAGATTTTGATGGAAGGGACTTAAAATGTGTTGCTGTTTTAAAATAGTGAAAATTTAAGAAAACCGTATACGTTTAAAAATAGATATAAAACCTAGCTTTCAAAATATTTTTGTACAATTAACGAAATCTGAAAGTAGGCGTTTGGGGCTTCGCGTGCATATAAAATAATAGAGAATCAGACGTCATTTACCCCCTGAAACTTAATTCGCAAAGTGTACGTAAAACTGTTTATAATTCAGCACTTAATAAAACGTTCAAAAATATTCCTTTCGCAAAACGTTTTCAGATTTTCTCAAAGTAGCCGCTGTTCATGAGAGTTCTAAAACAGTAAATAATTCACAGTCATACAGTCATCCAAAGTTCACCAAGTAGCATATAATACAGTCATCCGAGGAATAAAGCAGTCAATAGCAAATAATCCAAACAGCAGCAGAATAACAGCAAATTCGAAACATCCATGCCCTCAAATGCTCTTTCGTCCTCCTGCAATTTATAAAAATTGCAGCCCCAAAAGGGTGAAAATAATCCCAGTAGTGTGGCAACAAAACCAATAATGCAACAATATTAAACTAGGCACAAAATTATAAATAGTCGCTTCAAACATTAATTCCTTTTCAACATATATCCTTTTCATCATATATCCTTTTCATCATATATCATATTGCGTATATAACGCCTTCTTCACGCTCATAGCACCGTCGTGCGCATGCATACACAGTGGAAATTCCATGCACGGCACCATCATTTGAGGAATTCCACGGTGGCCTATGCGGACTGACGCCAATTGTCCCAGTATCCCGATATCAAGGGATGCCTATATGATGCGTGCTCATACACATGATCCTGTATATAACTATTCTACATTTCAAAGCCTACATGAATATATTGTATACATGCCATGAAATGCGGTCACACACCAAACAGAAAAATGCATCATGATGTAAAAATGCATGCACATATCATTATCATCATTTCATATTCTTACCATTGCCATATCATCATCATAAAATAACATTGAACATATGTGAGTAACACATCACAATTTCATACACTAGCTAATAGTCACATTAGGTAATACCGCCTAACACATACCTCAAACGTTACAGATAATTTACTAGGCAGCAGAGGAAATTATGATCCAACATCTCACAAGGCATACGCACCTATATACATATACAGGTGCAATTTAATCAGAATACGTTCTAAACTTATTCTTTAATTATCAACGAATTTCCCAAGCTTACGGACTTCCTATTCCTACTCATAATATGCGCAGGTGGAGGCCTATATACATGCTGTCTAATTAAAATAAACAAAGTCTAGGTCCTACTTAATTCCACCAAAACAGAACCGGTTTCCTTACTCCAACACCACAAGGATTAGTTATTCTAAAACGTAGTAAATTCATAACCGTACGCTACAAGAGAGTATACATGCTGTATTTTACTTAAGTGTAACTTGATTCATATAAAGTTTCATCAAAGCAGAATGAGTTTTATTCAAACAAAGATAATTTATTCTAAGTTTCAATTAACCTATTAAGGTGCGCTACCATGAGCATGCATGCTGTCCACTAATACCAATGAAGCATTTTCCACACCCCCAACTTCTCGGTTTTCCACTAATACCTTTACTTTAGCAAAACCCTACTAAGATCCCTTAGTCATGATTAATTGAATTATGGCATGGTACCTTTGCTCAAGCTAGTATATCATTTAATTTTTCTGCATACCTGAGTTATAATCCTATCCAGGTTCGGTTTTATAAGGGTCATCAAATAGGTGCTTCCATTCCTAAAGTCTTGGCCGAGTTATATGGTACTCCTCCTAATCTAATTTTCTGACTTAATATAACTTTTAAAATTTTATTAACAGCAGCTAATTTCCACATTCCACTCACACCGATCCGGTTCTGTTTTTTTTTTAGATACAAGAGAAAGACCAAAATGAGCAAACGGTTTTCCCTACACATACATTAATTAAAGGGAAGGACCGGACAGTGGAGCTTGAGGAGAGTAGGTGATTTCCGATTCATAATCACTTGCATGATCCCAATGGTTTCACCACCGATACGGTAAGATAGCCACCAAAATTATGAGTATCCTCCTCTCCTCCCACCGTGCCCAGGAATTTAAAACAGCATAGAATAAAGAGTAGTCCTCCTATGCATTCTATGCACCAAACTCAGGGAGCCAAGGATGAAATTTCTCACCGTAAATTGTATGCAAGGGAAAGAGCATCATTAAGAACTAAAAAGAAGTGTGTAGAAGCAACGGATGAGAGGAACACCTTACCTCTCCTAGGACTTGAAGACTCGGCTGGAACCGAGAAAAGAGATAAAAATGTGGACTTGATGATGAGGTCCTTCATTCACGGTTAAGAAAAGTAGTAAGGGGAAGGCTCCATCAAATTAGTGATGAGTCCAACGGCAACAAGAAATCAGAGAAAAACCTTTCACGCCTCTCTTGGAACTAATGGTTCAGCCATCGAAGAATGGTACAACTTTGGCCCTTTTCTTTTGCTCCGCAAGACCGGTTCCATCTACATGCAAGGAAAGAGTGGCCCGCCCAATGCTCCTCAACGGTACACACAGCCGAACAAGGAAGTGGAAAAGGAAGGGTTCATGCTTGTGTTTCTATCTCCATGGATGTTGGTCCACGGCTGGACAAGAAGAAAGAAACTATGCTTAGGCTTCAATCTCCTTGGCTGTTTGCATGTAGGATCGAACAGAGAGGAAAAATGTTGAACTAAGGTGACCGTTTCCTTCTAGGTGGTTACACGGTTGTACTGGGAAAGAAGGCAGAGGGAAGATGATTTTGTTTTCCCCCTTTTCTCACGGTTCAATAAAGATGGAAAGGAGAATCATGCAAACTTCGATTCATCCTCTAGTGGCTCACGGTTTCGAGGGAAGGAAAGGAGTTGATGGAAGTATGTAGTGTTAATGATTCTTCTCTGTGTTCCTCCCTAGCTTCGTATGGTTGAAATGAGAGGGGAGACCAATTTTTTTGGTTCAATGCACAAGGAATGAATTGCTAGTCAGATAGCCTTTTTCCCTTATTGGGCGTGAGGTGTGATGTGGCCACCAAGGCCAATGGAATTTCATGCAAGGGAAGTGCCCCTCTTCTAACTGGGTGTAGGTGATATTTGAGGATAACCTATAGATTATGAAATAACAATATGAGGCTGCCCTAAATCTCCCTTAGACAATTTGGGCCGTGGCCCTTAGGGAACTAGTACCTAATAGTGTTTCCCAAGCCATAGTATTACATTTATCTATTAGTTATGACTAAGATTTTCATAAAGAATTCTTAAAAATATTCCTATCTTACACATACTTAAACTTTTAATTCATGATAAAATTTAAATAACTTCTTAGAGATCACCTATCTTATGTAATCTAATATTAATTATCATTTCTAGTTCCCAAATGTTAGTGACTAAAGTTTCTACCTAATTTATAATTAAGCTTATTACTATTCCTTTTCAACCAAAGTTTTGAATCCTAAAATTACATAAATATTCACTTATAATTTGCCCTTAGAATAATCTTCTTAATTTAATTAGTTCCATCCTAACATAAATTTTATTCGATTTTCAATACACTACCCACTCCTAGTTACCATTTAGGCAGTTACCTAATTTTACGGGATGTTACAACTCAGGAATCTATGCATAGTAAAAGAGATCTTGAGATGATCTTCCTTTAGAGTCAGTAAATTGAATATTCCCTATTTCGAATAAAGCTTACCCTAAACTGCAAGGGTTGATACGCTTCCTTACCCTGGATTTTATGGGAAGGTAACCGAGATGAAAAGAAATACATACGGCAACCAAATATGTGTAATAGGATGATCAAGTCATTAATCTAACTAGCTCTAGGGCAACAAAGCATTGCTAGTGCTCTGTGTTGTCATTAAATGGGTTGTGGGCTTGTTGGGCTCGAGCCCATTTATGTAAGTGGCTATGTTGGACCTAATGGGTCACACACTAACACCTTAATGTAATGATGATATAGCATTAAAGGTATTGGGCCTAATAATGGTTGTTAGCCCAAGATGAAGTTTGGAAGCCCACCTAAGAGGGAGAGGGCGCATGGTATTGTTAATGGGCTTGGATGGTCCAAGACATTACTAATTAATTTAATTAGTTAAATTAATTATCAAATATTTAAATTTTGAATTTTGAATTTGAAATTTGAATTTTAAATTTTGAATTTTGAATTTTAATTTTGAAATTCGAATTTTGAATTTTGAATTTGAAATTTAAAATTTGAATTTTGAAATTTGAAATTTGAAATTTGAATTTTGAATTTTGAATTTTGAATTTTGAAATTTAAATTTTGAATTTTGAATTTTGAATTTGAATTTGAAATTTAAATGTTTGAACGTTTGAATTTAAATGTTTGAACGTTTGAATTTAAATGTTTGAATTCAAATTTGAATTGGCTATGAAAAGTTGTTTCATAACAAAAGGATAAGATGAGATCTTGTTGAAACAAATCCCTTGTATTAAGAGAAGATCTATAGAGATCTCCAAGGACTGATTTGGGGCGCCATCTTGGTGGGAGATGATTGTCATCTTGTCAAACCAACAAGCTCCAATCAGATTTGGTTGTTGAGAGAATCAGTGAGCTAGTTGGTTCAAACTTGAATGCAACAGCTCAAATGTATCTGGACCCTTTTTGGGCTGAATAGGGGCGCATGAATTGGTGGTCATATGATGACCATTGGTTCAGAATTTTGACTAGATAAAAACCTAGTCTTATGAGGATTCAAAGGGGAGGTTGTTGGGATTTTTGATTTGCAACAACTCCACCTTTATCTCACTCACTTGTGCGCCACTTTCATTATAAGTAAAGTAAAAATTCTAATTTGATACACTAATTCTCTCCCTCTCTTGTGCGCCTAGTTGGTGAGTTCCTCCTTAAGGGTTTTCAAAAGAACCTAGTCAATTCTTCTATATACCATTCCCACTCTTGTGAAGTTTTCATGCTGGAGACTTCACTCTTCTAAACACATATACCTAGCCTCTTTCTTCACCTATTGAGCGCATAGCAAGCCTCTCTTGAAAGTAGAATTGCCGTTGAAGGCCGAAACATGCGTGAGGAAAAAACAAAATTTTTCGCAAGCGGAACACACATGCATATCAAGATACATACTTTAAGACGTATGTCATACCTTGTTCGTGAAAACTCAAGATGATCAAGGTAGGTCTGAAGGGTTCAGACCCTCTAACGTTGATCCACACCACCCGCGTCTAGATACAGGAACTCCTTCCAGTAAGGCCGCCGATTGATCACCACAATAAGGCTTGTTATGCGCTCAGTGTGTGATGCAGGAGGTTAGGTAAAAGTGTTTAGAAGAGTGAAGTGTTCTAAGAGAAAACCTCACAAGGGGGCGCATAGATGAGTAGAGAAAGGCTTGGCTTTTCATAAAAACCTAAGGAGGAACTAACACCCCATTAAGCACACAAGAGGAGCCTTTTATATTTCAAAACAAATCAGATTTTTCTCCCAAAAATCTGATCAAAGTGGCGCCCTATGGGGAGAGAATAAGTGGAGTTGTTGAATTTCAAAAATTGCCAACAACATCACAGAATATTCTCATGAGACTAAGTTCAAAACCTAGTCAGAAATCTGATCATGAATCATCATATAATCAGCTATATGGTGCGCCCCATATAGCCTAAAAGATGACCAGATACATTTGAGTTAGTTGCATTTCAAACTTAAATCAACTCACTCAAATATTCTCCCAACAGACCGTATCTTCTGGAGATGATTTTGATGATCAAATCTAGCCAAAATCAGCGCCCCATTATCCTTGGATTATGTCCAAAAGATCTCCTCCAGATATGTTCCAACAAGATCTCATCTTATCCTTTTGTTATGAAACAACTTTTCATAGCCAATTCAAATTCGAATTTCAAACATTTGAAATCAAACTTTCAAACACTTAAATTTTAAATTCAAATTCAAATTCTAAATTCAAATTCAAATTTCAAATTTCAAAATTCAAAATTCAAATTTCAAATTCAAATTTCAAATTTCAAATTCAAAATTCAAAATTTAAACATTTGATAATTAATTTAACTAATTAAATTAATTAGTAATGTCTTGGACTATCCAAGCCCATTACTTTGATCCATGCGCCCTCCACCCTATATGTGGAGTTTCAAACTACTTCTTGGGCTAATAACAATTATTAGGCCCAATACCATTAATGCTAGAGCATCTAGACAATTAGGTGTTAGTGTGTGACCCATTAGGTCCAACATAGCCACTGACATAAATGGGCTTGGGCCCAATAAGCCCACAACCCATCTAATGACAACACAGAGCACTAGCAATGCTTTGTTGCCCCAGAACTAGTTAGATTAATGACTTGATCATCCTATTACACATATTTGGTTGCCGTATATATTTCCTTTCGTCTCGGTTACCTTCCCATAAAACCTAGGGTAAGGAAGCGTATCAACCCCTGCGGTTTAGGGTAAGCTTTATTCGAAATAGGGAATCTTCAATTTACAGACTCTAAAGGCAGATCATCTCATGATCTCTTTTACTATACATAGATTCCCGAGTCCCTGTAAATGTCATCCTGATTTCTCCGGTTTACAGATAACCTAATCTCTCACAGAGATTTGACGAATTCCTTCAGCTTATCGCCCTAGCCCTGTGTTCTTTCAGGACAAGCCCAACAGTATACCTATGAGTCTCCATGTTTCAGGCGGACGAGGTGCACAATCAAAGCATGCCTTCTAGAACACAGTCTAGGTAATAACTTCTGGTCTTAGGAAAGATATACCCAAATATAAAGAGACTACTCTAATGATACTCTCTGTGAGAGTTCCTCATAGAGTCTCTTTGTGGGTCTGTTCAGCGCGAGCTAGACCCTTATAGGTCCACCCACGACTTTAGCTAAGACATCTCCATATCTGTAGCTCATGAGATCTTTACCTTGCATCCAAATACAAGTAGATAATTCGTGCTAGTCTTACCCGAGATCACTGATCCCCATTCTCAGTGTCTCTAGACTAGGAACATAAAATTAGGAATAAACATGCAGTATCCTTGAATCCTCATGATCGTGATCTCATCACAGATACTCAAGAGATACCTATTTTATTCCAAGGGGTTTATCCAGTTACTCATATAAATATTAATAGTAATATTGAGACAAAATATGAAACAGGATAAATAGTTCTTTTATTTGCGACAATATAAAAGGTCTACATATGTCCTAATCTAATCAAAAGATTGTCTCTAGGACATCCATATACTAACATCTCTGTGGTGGTCAATTGGTTGCTTTCAAGAAAGCGTTCTTGCATCTTGACGTGGGTGGTGTGGATCAACGTTAGAGGGTTTGAACCCTTCAAACCTAACACTGATCGTCTTGGATTTTTGAACTCATAAACAAAGGTAACATCACATCCCATAAAGCATGATTCTTGATTGCATGTGTAATTCCGCATATGAAAAAATTTGTTTTTCCCTCTCACATGCTACGGCCTTCAAGGCCATTTTACTTTCACAGACATTATTTCAGGTACCCAGAGTAGTAGTGATGTGTCTAGGGGCAAGGCCCCCGCATTGGAGTCGTTGATGATGGAGCTGATATTTTATATTATGTTTAGACTTATGACGACATGTAGATTTGTTTAACATGCTTAATTATTTTATTGAGATTATGTATGGACTTATTTAGGCTCATGATTGTATCCTTAGAGCCATGGATGATTTACTGATGTTATGTTTTAGGATTAATATAGACTTGATGTATGCATTCAATTAATTTGGGCTTGGAGCCTTCTTGTTTGTATTGACCCATTGAGGAGTTGCAAGCTATCTGTTTAAATTATTGTATCAATCAGGTTAACTGTATGTGTGGGACCATGTTCCCAATTATCCAAAATACAGTCGTTATGCTGTCCGTGAGACTCCGTCAGGAATGACACTTGATGTCGTATCTTGATGGTCAACGGCCACTAATACTTAGTAGATGTATATTTTAGATTTACGCTTTCGCAGTATCTCACGTGAACGTTTTTAGAAATGTTTTCATAAAATATTTTGGAAAAAGTTTACTCATATTTCTATAAGACGCTTTACTTCTTTTTCAAATAAAGTCTTCCGCTGTGTATGCTAAATATCATGTATGTTAACAACCGGAGTACTACGAGATGTTACATTGGTGAAGGAAGGAAGTGAGTAGGTGAGAGAAATCAAATCACTTAAATGTGTTTTCTGAATCCCGCTCCGCTCGCACCTGCTCGCCCAAGCAAGCGACCATTGTACGCGCTTGCTGGGCAGCTCGCCCTAGCGAGCCTTCCAGCGAGCGGCAGCAGACAAGGTCTTTCAATACAAAGGCCCACTTCCTCAAACAAGGCCCACTCACACTCACTTAAGCCCACTTGTGTCTTTCATACTTAACTACACCACATTGATTGAACTAAGTCGTCCCACTTGTTTTATCTACAATATGATTAATCAATTAATATTTAATCCAATTCTTTGTATTAAACCTCTCACTTAATTAATCTGAATTATATAAGATTAAATAGTTAATATTATAACATTAGACGTATTACAAATCAGGGTTATTATAATTGTTATCATCAAAACTTTAATATAATAGTCTTCTTGACCTATGGTTCAACAATTATCCCCGGTAATTCCATAGGTTCTCTATGGACTAATCCGGAATTCAGGGTGGGTCAAGGATTAAGGCTTTAAACTCTTCCAAATATAATATTAGAGAAGATCGAACACATATTCTCACCCTATCTGCTCAGCTCCCGCACGCCAATTGAACTACCATCGTTTGGTAAACTGCCAACAATCTAATTCTGAAACTTTAACGGCGAAAGATCTTAAATTTGGCGTCTACACCATGACTCAAGTGATGGAATACACCTCAAATAGATATCATCCCTCAAAAGTCTTACATTTATTAAACGCAATCAACTGAGTGAAAGAATTTTTTATTTTTATTTTTATTTTTTGAAGCGAACAATATTGAAGAATCTCACACGATTAATCGGAAGACATCATTGACAAATCGATAACACCCACTTAGAATGTAAAAGACAGCAAAGTCAAAGATTCATTGGTCAAAAATACACGCAACCATATACAACCCAAATTAGGAATGAATGGCTAAGCTTTTTTCACGGGGTAGAAATTCATGCTAGAACATAGCAACAGGTTATTGTGATCAGTTTCATGCCCTCGTCTTCATATCCTTAATGTAATTTATAATCCCATTTTCCCTTACCCACCGCAATCCACCCTTCTGAGGGAAGTGCTGGATTGGGTTTCTTGGGACTGACGTAAACACCATCATGAGTCTAAATTGCCTAACCTGTGGCCAAATCCTTCAAAGGGAAAACTCTGGAAGGGAATATCTCCCAGAAATTAAGGTTTCTAGTAGGAAAGTGACTTTGCAAGTTGATAGAAGCTGGTCAGGGAACATATCCCCACCCGAATGTGCACATGGTGCTGTGGCAAAGATTAAGACCGAACATCGACGCACGAACAGTGATGGAAATGTTGGACCAAGATTGGTAAGGAGCAGTGGAATGAGAAGAGATTGGAGTTTTGAGGATTTGAAAGGAGAGCAAGACAAAGAAGTTAGATGCTACTGAGATCATTATATATACCAATGCATGTTATTGTCATGTCTTAAAAATTTTGTGTTGGCCTTTTTCTGCATTGCGTATACTTCATGTGTTGAAATCTTTTGGAGGCATGCAGATTGGAGGAGTGGGAGACGTAAAGAGGGGGGAAGGGAAAGTGGGAAGTCCAATATTGTAGCATGGTGTTTCAAGCGCCAGCCAAATTTTGAGAGCGCTTTTTTTTTCACCATAGTAAATTAAACCCCTTTTTGTCTTGTTTGTTAATTTATTTATTTTTTTATGATCCTTTCAAATTTGTTGCCATTCTTGTTCAATCTATGACTTTCATGTCATTTAATCATTAAGCTTTTGATCTGCGGGGTACACAAGATTAATAGATGTGGGAAGCTTGTTTAAGGATTGGAATTAACATGTTTTAACTAAAGGAGGAAGTTTTGTATTAAATAAATAATGACAGAAGTGAACATTGATTAACAAGTTTGTACGTGGGGTACGGTTTTGCATAATTTGTATAAGGTTATAAATTCAAATCTTAGTGCTATTATTATATAAAAAAGTATTTATTAACAAGTTTTTTAGTTTCATTTTTTACTTTCACTTCTATGCAACAATGAGGTTAATGAAGCTCAAATGCACTAAACAAATAATCCGTTGTCATCAAAATTATCCAATAAACCCAATAATCTGGTGACATTCCCTGACCTTGGAAACGGGAAAACCCTCCCCTAAACGTTTTAGAATAAATAAAATAAAATTCAAGTGGATTAGGAAAACAAGCAAAATGATACATGGACTTAACGGTTTGTTTACCTATTTGTTTCACGTTGAAGTTCCGTATAGAAGCGTAGAATAACCATGACATAGTGGCGGACTCAGAAAATTTTCTTTATGTCTGCACATTTGGGGCGGGGGTTTGGGAGCGTTGCCCCTGATTTTTTTTTTAAAGATCATGATCATGATTCAATTTTTGCTTCCACTTCAAAAGTAAAGCTTTGGTGAATCAACCAAAGTTTTAAGGAAATAATCGATAATGATAATTAAAAAAAATAAACACCACCAAAAGACATTTGTAAAATATAGTATAATTATAGGGGTTAATAGATCAAAACTCACCTTTGTTGATGTTTATTTGATCCAAAGTTGGCCACTTTTGGTTCACAAAAAAGGTGAAAAATCCCGTACGATTCTCATCATCTTGATAAAGATTGAATTTCAGGAATCATTGATGTCTATTAAGATTTGGAGCTAATAAAATTTATGTAAAAAAAAAAAAAAGGAGAGAGACAAAGCAACGGGGTAAGATTTAAGCTTTAAGCTTTTAATTGTAGGGTTTGGTTGGGTTGGACATATATTTACCATTTTTCTTTCAATCTTTCTATTTCTTTTTTTTCATTTTTTTTTTTACTTAACTTGAATCACACATCCCATGTAAAAAAAAAATTCCACCCAACTTTGTGTCTGCAAGTGCAGACATCCGCAACCATTTGGGTCCGCCATTGTGTGGAGCACAAAGTCTTTTATTGGCTTTTGGACCCATGTAATGTGAAATCAAAGCCATTTGACTATTTTAATTCTTTTGGGAAACTATTTACTAATCTATTGCGAGTGAAACAGGCATTGGGAGTGTGTACATTTAAATTGCGCATCACCACATGCGTGACTGGTGCAACATGTTTGTCACTTGTCACTCTCTGCAAGATACAAATAGAGGGTATGTGCAACTTGAGCGAACAATGATGGATTCGTGACTTGAACATGCACTGTCAGAATACGCGTCTTACAACTTTTACACAAATCGCATATGGAGATGATGTGCAACTTAAATGCGCATATTTTCCATATGTGTTTCACTCGCATTAAATTAGTAAATAGTTTGTCAAAAAAATTAATCTGATTAAATATCTCTGAATTCACATTACATCGCTCAAAATACCATATTTTATTTGTTTTCCAGATCTATAGGGTAAGACTATAGCCAGTTATCCACTTTTAACATACATTTTTAAGCACCTGTGGTCTAAAGTTTTATTTTATTGTATTTTATTTTTGAAATATTCTAGCTTTAGTTGTCATAAAACGTCTATGCAATACTTTTCTATTTATGTACGCCTTTCAAACACGCAGTTTAATGAATCTAACAGTATGACTTTACTATAAACTGAAGTTATACATTGCGTAAATCTTTGATCAAACAAGGAAAATATACGGGGGACTAATATGTATATGTGTTTTGGAACGGATTTTAGATGAGATTTGGATTCGTAAGCATTAAAGATCCAGACCAACCATAGTGGGGGGATCTTATCTTTAATTGAGCCGTAGAGAGAACAATTGATATACCCAAGAAAATATTTGAGCCTAGTGTTTGACCCTTTCACATACAAGAGATGTCTCATTCTTAACTTTCTCAAGTGATAGCTTGTAACATTCCCGGAAAACCAGAAATCCTAAAATAAAATTTTGACAAATTTTTCTAATTAAACTAAGTTTCCTATTTATTAATTTGATTAGAGAATAGGAAGAATATTCAAAATAATCTCAATCCTCATTGAAATACAATAGTTTCACTTTCAGAATGCTTAGAATGTGAAAATTGACCTACATTAAAGAAACGGGATTTTTCGGAGTAAATTTGGTTTGTCAATTAAGTCCCCACATAACTAATTAAACTGCCAACTTTATCAATTACACTAAAGTAGAAATTGAGAGGTAACGTTGACTTTTAAATGACGGCAACAGATTTTCCTATACTTCTAAAAATGTTTAGAGCACGTTTAGGAGTGTATTATTAATTTACTTGACAAAATAGAAGTTAAATTATACGTAAGACATTTCTCCAAAGATAGCCTTAGCATAAAGTCGGCTATCTCAAAAATAAAGAAAAGCAAAGAGATAATAGATAAAGAGTAAAATAGAGGAGAGAAGAACCAGAACGATACATCGATTTATATGATGATTTATGTATAGAATGAATCCGATTTAGTTTTAGCCTCAACAAAGGATTTCATGAATTCAAGAATAAGCACACGATTCATTCGAGTGAAGAGAGATGGTTATCTATTTTAGACATTGCTCCCAACTGTGAATGAGCCTTAGCGTAACTGGATCTAAACTTTTTGTTTTAAGTATATGAGTTTCCAAATATTGTTTTAGAAAGAAGAAAATTTTGGTCCCAATTTTATTTTTTTAAGGATTTCTTCTTAGTTTTTTTTTAAAAAAAAAATTGGTTGTTATATTTAAATAGAGTATCATAAGTTTCATACATTGTAGGTAAATTGTTATATGTGTATATGAATAATTGCTTTGATCTATTTCTTATGAACATATTGTGGTTTCAAGTATACATATTTTGTTAGTGCTTTATACTTATTGCATGGCTTCTCATTTATGAAGAAACTGAAATATCTTCTTTTAATCGGCCTATTTTAGGTAAATGTGTTGACTCATATAGTTGAAGCGAAATTGGATTATGGGCAACTTACTACCAATGAGAATTTGAAGCAAAAGCCTTGAGCAAGACAAAACAGAGCTACTTGGAGACAAAAGTGTTGGGATTCTCCCTAATATCCCACGGTGAAAACCATCACGGCAAATTGTTGGATAAATCATATTGGTTTCTTGATGCCTTTGAATTTTGAGATTGATGGTCATCCTCAGTCAAATCATCATAGTGCAAATTCTTATATGGAACATAAGAAACATAATCAAATAGACTTAGCCAAAATGAAACATGAACAAATATGACATTATATCTATCCCTAGTGCAATATACAATGTTCATGCTCTAAGTCTAGCCTATGCCAAATGTGGCCTCAAAAAGCAAAAAGGCTCTCCAACTTCATAGCTCAACCAATGGGCCTCTTGCCCGTAGCTCCGATCCCGCTACAACTACCTGAAATAATGCCCCAAACGCGGGGTGAGATATACGAATATATCTCAGTAGCCCAGACGTTCTGAAGATCACTCCGCCCAATGTCTCACTCAGATGTAAATGTACAATAATAAATCATAACAACCAAAAAGGGATATAGCAAGGGATTTAGAGAAGAAGGGGTGCATAAGAAGAAAACATACGATGAAGCTGGAACGGTCATAGGCAAAACCACACAACAACTGGCCTATGGGCCTCGGCATATAGCCTATGGGCTCTCATCCAAGAATGTGTTCCGAGAACATCATCCAAGGCACCCTCCATCTGATATACCCGAGACATTCATAGAGTGCTCCTCAACGGATAACAACTTTATGGCCCCATGTCAACTGAAACTCCCTCACGGAGACCTATCTGGTGGATGTAACACCTCGTGTATACTCGGTTTGTTAACATGTCATCGTATTAAGCTACGCTTAATTAAAATGCGGAATATTCTTTTTCTTTTCAATTATGACGTCATTAAACTTAGCCAAGTTGATTACTTAATCAATTTCATAAAAACATCGCCTGTATATAAATTGCAAAAGACAGCTAACTGAAATACCTCATAGATAAATAAGTGAGTATCTAAGTCACGGATCTACAACACGTAGTCTGGACAATATCCTGATACATTATTACAACTCGATTGAAAACATAAAGTCAAGACAATGTGGCATAGACAAACCCCATGCTCACCAAATAAACAGCATAGCCAACAGCGTCTCAACAATAATATCATAATCATAACATGCTAATAACATAAAGCAACAAGCATAATCCAACATCCAGACATATCATCATATAAACAGCAATATCAGCTAAGCTACGGCCTCCTGCCGCTAGAGGTCTCAACCACTGGGTTACCTGAACCGGAAATAAGCGCCCCAAACGTGGGGTGAGATCTCTGAACAGAAATCTCACTAAGACAAGGGGTCCTCAAGAATCTTCCACCCCAAGCTCACTTACATGTGCAATATAAGTTCCAAAAACAGTTTAACAATATAAGTTCCAAAATAGTGCAATGCAGCAGATAATCATGTCATGTGTGTTATAACTAATCTACTGGCCAGAGAATGCAGGAATACGTCTATTA